GATTACTGCTCTGTAATCACGGTTTGTACACAACATAGCTCGGTGAATTAGATTTTACTGACCCCCAGCTGTTCGGTATGGTGACCTCATACAGTTCGGATACACTGATCGTCGTATCGTAATGTTTCTACACCAGGCCTGGAAATGCCAAGGAAGATCATCCTTTACAACTCAGTGATGTAATATTATGTACAATGCTAAAAAATGATCGAAAATGGTCCGGAACATCGAGTTAGCAACGACCGATGCTTCGGCATTATTTTACTCACAAAAATTGATAGACAGGTGAGTCTCTAATTTCACCAATGTTGTGTTACCTTATGGGCACTTTATTAACAAATGAATCGGAACAAAAATTCAGAACAGTCCCTTTTGACTTCCTACATGAATAAGAGTGTTCTAAGTTTACGTAGGCGTGGTCTGATTCTCGTTTATTTTTCAGAAACTACGCTTCTGTTTTCTTATCCAGGCCAATACTAAATTTTGATTTGTACGAAAATGCAACGCTGGCTGTCAACTCGCACCCATCAGAGCTGTTCACAAATGAATTGTTCTGATGCGGGTAGTCGATCTGCACTACGAGCCACGTGACCAATGTCGTTTTGCTGAGCGCGTGTCCAAGGTCGTTCCGGTATAGGTATGTCTAAGGTCGCTCCACCATGTAAGTGAAGGCTGGTTTATGTTTGTTTTGTATCCGACTCTAGCTGAGTTCTTCGCGCGCCTGAAGGCGTGGCGACACGTGTTGTGCTTGGAATAGAAAGAATTCTAGGTCTTCGAAACTTTGGTACCCTAATACGTACCAAGCAAACTGGCTTACAAGCAGTCAAAACACCATTTGTGCCCGTTGTCAAGTTGATGGGCCAAAACACTCTTGTGTTCTCGTCCTTTCTGCAACACGGACAGACAGAAGGCACAGCGACATAATGCAAATAATTTTTTGCATGCCATCTCCCAGAGATCGGACATAAAATAGACTTTTTGACCTACCGAATCCACATCAGCTTTATCTTCAGTGTTGATGACAGAATTTGACTACTTCGAAATACACTCATTTGCACACCAATTTGGCTTCATCCAGAGACACAACTGAATCCTAACTGAATCTCTTTTTTTGTGTTCTTCAGCTAAATCTGCTGCACAAATTCACCACATTTTCAAGATTTCGCACAACATCTGCCTGACGTAAACTACTCATAAGGTGCTGAAGACTATCCGACAGCCGCTTCAGCTGGAGAATTTCATAAACGAGAGACTCAGTTTCTTGTTAAAACCAAATTGGTGTGCATATGAATGAGTATACTTCGTAAGTGTTGTACAATTGGGGTTCAGATAGAATAGAAGAAGGGAGAAGCTGTCGAAGAATTTTCAGCAATCTCGTGAGTTTGAAATGTATTTGCTATTTTGACTGATATTGTTAATGCTATATAAATAGGTTTAGGTCGAACGAAGGGATACTGAAAGGGCTATCTCTCCTTAACTGGAGTTCTCAAACAAAATCAGCTTAACTCGATCAAACTGCGTTTTATACGAATTGCGTGCACCCTATTTGAAGGTTTGCGGTGATAATAACGTTTTTAAGCATTCTGTTTTAACAAAAGCGGTTCAAGGACCATCCATTTGGTACCCTCAAAGGCCAGAACTACGTGTATGTACCCTAAGGATATGTTTTGTAGATTTTCTAGGTACTGACAAATTCGTTCAGCTGCCTGTGTGCTTCACCACTAGTTGGAGAACACAGAATAGTTCCGAACATGATGAAACCTGATACTGATTTGATAAGTGACACTGAAAATGCGAAATTCGGAAATTGTACGAATTTTGCGGGATCGTTTTTGGTATTTTCTAACCTATACATGTCCGCTAGTTTGGTGAAATAAAGTCGGGAAGTGTATGATCGAGGCACCTAGATTCGTCGTATATCAGAATTAGTAGGTGACTGGGTCTACGAAAGATAACATACATCTTACTAATTATCGTAGAGATTGCGCTCTCCTCGTCGAAGGTACCAAGTAGAGAATCAAACTTTCGAAAACTAATGAAGAGATGATTATCTACACACGCTTCTGAGCAGTACTGAAACTTATTTCTACACCATAAAACATGAACTGGTTTTCGCGTGATGAATGAGTCTCTGCCAGGACATGCCTACAATTCGGTGTTCAAGTATGAAAGAAGGCTGATGGAGATTTGGCGAATAGGCCTAAATGATGAACCCGAAGAAGGGCGAAGCAGGCATCAGGCTGCCAAATACTCTCACATACCCTCTACGAGGTATTAAGAATGGCATAGATACCTCTATCTGAATCAGGGTGCTAAAATGCAAATACTGAGAAGATGGATTTTCACCAGTATACTGAACTCTGCAACATCAATCAAGTAGTAAAACTCTGTTTTGGATTTGGATTTCTTTAGCTAATTCAACCCGTCATTTGGTAGCATAACCATGTTGGCCCGCGCCCGAAATTTATGTTGTTCAAAATTTTTATTCAGGCGTTTAAATGTTTGTTCTACTCCTGTTTATAGATCAGGAGATTCGCACATTCTTGGTCTGGGAGTAAAGCAAAACCGCGTAGGGTGACCTGTAAAGAAACGAGAAATCCTCATAAAATTGGCATAAGATGATCATTTCGTAGTGTTCTGGAGACTGGTATCTCCAGGAGTAATTTGTCGGGGCGGATTACCATGTAAATGTTCAAACGAAAGTCCATCTCCCAAAGGACGACTGTCATGCATCCATTCCCTATAACTCGTCGCTTAGTATCGACAATTTGGTTTTCCTAACGAACTTATGTCAATCTCTGTGTGGGGTCCCCAATAATGCTCTAAACGCTTATTTTATTCCATGTCTTCCTAAAAATTTGAATGACCTCTTTTAAAGCAGCCAAGCTCTTCCGAGCGTTTCTGTCCCCGTCCAGCTACACCTGTTAGACGTAAACGGCACACCTAACAGAAATCCATACCGACATTCTTTTCCTGACTGTGTGTTTCCTTTTCCGAACATTTTTTTCGCTTTTAAGACGGTCACGTAGAGACCCTCAAAAGATAGTAAGATATCACTTTTGAAGCGGAACGTAAAACCAATTAAGACCAGAATGTAAGCGGTTAGTTTACCAGGCATGTTCACCACAAGTACGATGTTTATCACTTCGCGCAGCTGTAAATTCCCCAGGAATTTCAAAAAGTGCATTCTGGGGAATATCGGTTGCGTTATCCCCTTGGCCATCTCCAGTGCCAGATAGTGAACCGTGCACGCGAAGCTAGCCAGTAATCGCATGTACATTTTGTGGTTACAGTGAGGTTCACTCCGCTCTGGAGAAGCTACTTCACGGACTGGTCGAAAGTAGTCTTTTTTGTGTCATCGAAAAATTGGAATTTTTTTCTAAACAACCACCTTCGCTGGTGGTTCACTATTTTTTCTCGAATGCTTCACTGTGTGTGCTGAGTAAAGTCTAAAATACCGAATCGTATTTCCATGCAGATGCTCATAGAGTTATCCGACATGAAACGCGTTCTCCTAGAGAATGCCTTCATTTGTCATTTGATGAAGATCTTCTAACTGACATGTTTTTTTTCGTTCGGAACTCGTTGATATAATCAGAGGTCTAGTCATCTTCGAATGAATATCGGAGATTGTCTGTTCGGTTTTGCGATTTGCCACCCTTTAGTCTCACCTTCGAAAACTTATGACCTGACCATGAAAATATCAGCCACCTGAACCTTTTTCTCAGGAGCGTCAATCAGTTGGTCGTTGTTGGCTTATATCACGGACAGAAATTCTCAGTAGGGTCAGGCATATTACAGATATTCATCTAGGTCAAAGCCTGACAGTCATTGGATCTTTTGCAAGAAAAATCTGCTTATTTAATTTCGGCATGGTAAACGACTGGTAGGATCAAGGTCCACCTTTTGCCATATGCTATTTCCTGCAATGTCGGATGTTACCACCGTCGTTTTTAGAGGTTCTCAGATAGCAGTTTTATCTGAGTTGGAACTCCACACCTGAGAATGACTGAATTGTTGGAGCTATCATGTCTCATGCGTTGTGAATGCGGTTAGCATAGCAAATGAACAAGCTGATGGTGGATGATCGTCCCGATTATTCTGCATTGTTATTCTGCCATCATCGATGGTAAGGAATCTTCAGTGCACATACAACTCCATCCCAAATTACTGGTGGCAGTGAAGCGACAAATGAGCAGTCGAAACCCTATGCTGTTACTGATTCTCTGTAATTTAACACGCATTCCCCTTGGAGAAGGATGGGTTAGTCCCCAAATCCTTGCGGTTCGTGAATCACATTCAGAAACAAGGTCCGTCCAGGGCGTAATGCATTTTTTATTTCATTCCTTCCTGAGCTATAAATATGTTTTTAAGCACTAGCAGTTGACTGTCGAATAGCACTTATAGATTCGACTGAACTTACCTTGTGGAATCGTATACATAGTAATCTAAAAGGGAGGGAGATTCCTAATGCAGCCGATAGCCACTCTTACTTTCAGGCCATCGCCATTCACTGTCTTTCACTGCTGGTTATTCTTTTTGGTTAATAAAAGACTTGGATGCTTGTCAGACCAGCGGAGCTGGCGGACACTTTGTTAATCTTTCAACACAAATCTGTTTTGGAAACCGGTTCACTGTGAGTCTGCCCATAATCAGTGGAAGGCTGAAGGGGTTAGTCGAAAAGGATATCTTCCGGGGGTTGTATTTTTAAAAACGAATAACCATATTGCGCGAAAGAAACTTCACTTCATACTCTCACGCTTCAGTTTGAAATTAGTGCCTTTGTTTTTGCACTCCTATAACAAGCCCGGAAGCAACAAGAGGATATTGTAGACGCAGATAAAAACACCTGGTCTGTTGCTCGAAACAGAGTGCGAGTGATTCGAATCACAACATCCACAAAGCTTCTTGGCGTACAAACGAATTCTCTGTGGAGTAACCATCCCGTGCCTATTACACTATCGTCTTCTACCGGCCCAATTGTGTAAAGCAGATAGTATCTTTTCAACTGGCTTATATTTTCCATGTAAACTCTTCTAATAGTTAAGTCATCAAATGATTACGGAATAGCCATAGAGGTAAAGCAAAGCATAAGCACTTGACAAAAATTTTGTCCCACAACCATGAATACGGGGATAATAATAGTAGTAATAATAAAGAGCGCCACAAAAAAGCAAACTTAACAAATCTTGATTTCTATAGTACACACCAGTGGATAAGTAGCGGAATGTCAAATAATCAGAGAGACTGGTTAATTCACGGGTCACAACTAGTCACACCGAATCCCTGATTCTCACAACCGTTTTCTAACAGTAAAAGCAGAAACAAAAAATGGATTTACTCTGAGAAACTCGGTGGAATGTGTTGACTTAGTTAGCCACATGACTGGGTTGAATATTGCATTGGGGATGTATGTGGGTTGATAAATAAAATCACAACCTGTAGCTATGGAAGGGTCGGATAGTAGCAAAAGTAGTGTGTCATTTCTTGTTCAACATTTTTTGGCTCGCTTCCATCACGGAATCATAAATCATGAAAGAAATGCAAACATCCAGGCAGACCCGTCCCAAACGGGGAACGGTGCCTTTGTAGAATCTACAATGAAAATAAAACAGTGTGGCATCAGATGCAAAGCAACTACCATGATTCTATTTAGTTAGGACGTTGAATGTTACCTAAATGTCAAATACTAACAAGAAGGAGGCTGTCTCCGTCTACATAATTGATGGCAGTTCAGACATTTTTGCGGAGCTAACTGTACGTCTAACATTGAATTTGTTGCAGTCATGTAAAAGTGAACTCACCAAGATAGTTAAACACCTTTTGCCATATGCTATTTCCTGCAATGTCGGATGTTACCACCGTCGTTTTTAGAGGTTCTCAGATAGCAGTTTTATCTGAGTTGGAACTCCACACCTGAGAATGACTGAATTGTTGGAGCTATCATGTCTCATGCGTTGTGAATGCGGTTAGCATAGCAAATGAACAAGCTGATGGTGGATGATCGTCTCGATTATTCTGCATTGTTATTCTGCCATCATCGATGGTAAGGAATCTTCAGTGCACATACAACTCCATCCCAAATTACTGGTGGCAGTGAAGCGACAAATGAGCAGTCGAAACCCTATGCTGTTACTGATTCTCTGTAATTTAACACGCATTCCCCTTGGAGAAGGATGGGTTAGTCCCCAAATCCTTGCGGTTCGTGAATCACATTCAGAAACAAGGTCCGTCCAGGGCGTAATGCATTTTTTATTTCATTCCTTCCTGAGCTATAAATATGTTTTTAAGCACTAGCAGTTGACTGTCGAATAGCACTTATAGATTCGACTGAACTTACCTTGTGGAATCGTATACATAGTAATCTAAAAGGGAGGGAGATTCCTAATGCAGCCGATAGCCACTCTTACTTTCAGGCCATCGCCATTCACTGTCTTTCACTGCTGGTTATTCTTTTTGGTCAATAAAAGACTTGGATGCTTGTCAGACCAGCGGAGCTGGCGGACACTTTGTTAATCTTTCAACACAAATCTGTTTTGGAAACCGGTTCACTGTGAGTCTGCCCATAATCAGTGGAAGGCTGAAGGGGTTAGTCGAAAAGGATATCTTCCGGGGGTTGTATTTTTAAAAACGAATAACCATATTGCGCGAAAGAAACTTCACTTCATACTCTCACGCTTCAGTTTGAAATTAGTGCCTTTGTTTTTGCACTCCTATAACAAGCCCGGAAGCAACAAGAGGATATTGTAGACGCAGATAAAAACACCTGGTCTGTTGCTCGAAACAGAGTGCGAGTGATTCGAATCACAACATCCACAAAGCTTCTTGGCGTACAAACGAATTCTCTGTGGAGTAACCATCCCGTGCCTATTACACTATCGTCTTCTACCGGCCCAATTGTGTAAAGCAGATAGTATCTTTTCAACTGGCTTATATTTTCCATGTAAACTCTTCTAATAGTTAAGTCATCAAATGATTACGGAATAGCCATAGAGGTAAAGCAAAGCATAAGCACTTGACAAAAATTTTGTCCCACAACCATGAATACGGGGATAATAATAGTAGTAATAATAAAGAGCGCCACAAAAAAGCAAACTTAACAAATCTTGATTTCTATAGTACACACCAGTGGATAAGTAGCGGAATGTCAAATAATCAGAGAGACTGGTTAATTCACGGGTCACAACTAGTCACACCGAATCCCTGATTCTCACAACCGTTTTCTAACAGTAAAAGCAGAAACAAAAAATGGATTTACTCTGAGAAACTCGGTGGAATGTGTTGACTTAGTTAGCCACATGACTGGGTTGAATATTGCATTGGGGATGTATGTGGGTTGATAAATAAAATCACAACCTGTAGCTATGGAAGGGTCGGATAGTAGCAAAAGTAGTGTGTCATTTCTTGTTCAACATTTTTTGGCTCGCTTCCATCACGGAATCATAAATCATGAAAGAAATGCAAACATCCAGGCAGACCCGTCCCAAACGGGGAACGGTGCCTTTGTAGAATCTACAATGAAAATAAAACAGTGTGGCATCAGATGCAAAGCAACTACCATGATTCTATTTAGTTAGGACGTTGAATGTTACCTAAATGTCAAATACTAACAAGAAGGAGGCTGTCTCCGTCTACATAATTGATGGCAGTTCAGACATTTTTGCGGAGCTAACTGTACGTCTAACATTGAATTTGTTGCAGTCATGTAAAAGTGAACTCACCAAGATAGTTAAAAGAAATTCGTAATGCACTACTCATAAGGTTGCTGAAAATTCTTCGACAGCCCACGAACGGTTTCGCCGTACTCGGTGCTCATCAGGCAGGCGCAGTCTCTGAGTTTTTGTCAAATTTACGTTCTACTTGAAACCAAATTGCACGAAACTATCGAACTACACTCATTTGCAAACAAAGTTGGTTTTGTGAGACTCACCTGGAACCCAGCTGAATCTCTCGTTCGTGATGTTTCCAGGCGACTGAATGTATCGCACCAGGCCACCTCATGTTTCCTTTGTCTGGAAACGTCACAAACGAGAGATTCAGCTGTGTTCCAGGTGAGTCTGGCAAAACCAAGATTGTTTGCAAATGAGTGTATTTTGATTATATTTAAAAATTGTTCACATTAACATCAAAAGAAAACAAAATTCAGGACTCTTGCATATGATTTTCTGCTTTTAAATTCCCCCAGTCAGCGGCACCAAGATTGTTTGCAAATGAGTGTATTTTGATTATAGTTAAAAATTGTTCACATTAACATCAAAAGAAAACAAAATTCAGGACTCTTGCATATGATTTTCTGCTTTTAAATTCCCCCAAGTCAGCGGCAGCAGCGATAATATGGAAGACGATTTGACATTGGTACCAATCTTGCAGTGTCTGTACAGCCAACATTTTTGACTAGTGTGCAAGACTGACCATGTCCACAGCCTTTCTGTTAGCCCATTGCAAGTATCGGACCAAATTCATTTCTGCAAAACCAGGCATAGAACCTTTGGAGGAAAGTAGCCCAACTGCAAGTTCGGCAAGCCTCCACTGGGTGTGACCACGCGTGCCTCGTAGTAAGGTGCATAAGCACGGTACGGAGACTGTTCATTGGCGTCCTTCTGTCGTGTCTCACGGATGCATGCCGTCTGGGTGTGACGTTGCGATAAAAATAGCTTAGTATGCTTGAATCTTGTAATCCTGTCGGTTTACTTCGCACAACAGCCACAGTGAACGCTCAGTGCCGGTTGTCTACATACCATAGCCTTCGCTCCTACTCTGAGGAACGTCAGACTTTCATTTTCTGGCGTACTGATTATTCGGTGAATACCTTGTCCAAATGCACCAGTGAACGTTCTAAGGGTGTTTGAACATTCGAAACACAATTTGGCCTGATACAAGATCATGTACGTTACAGAACAAGCTTTGTAATTTTTGTTGATGCCAGCAAACTCACGCGTGTCAAGTGCACGTCATAAAACAATAAGCCGAGCACAGTACCGTCCAGTACAAAACCGTTCCCACAAACCGGCTGATAAACACGTCAGTGATACTATATATTCATATATATATATATATATACTACTGTATTTTGTTTGAAAGGATTTGTGACGAAGGGATAATATAAATCTAGAAACGCCTAATCTTAACCAAGAGCCAACGCAAAATGCGGCACAGCATATCCGGCAACCGCTTTTCGTTGTCGAGTCACAAACGGGTGAAAATATGTTACAAGGATACGGCAGACTACTGCTCCTGGTTACATAACTCACTGCTTAACCAGCACAACAGGAGAAATCGGCATTCGACGAGAGATTAAAAACGGCTTTTCCCTGATTGGCGCGCACTTGGTAGTTGTGGTTAATTGGCTCAAACATGTGACAGCCCCTGGTTTTATATCTTATTGCAATAAAATTAGCTGAAATGTAGCCGACAGTAGCATAATGCCCTCTGAGAGAGAGGTCTCGCTTCAAGAGTACACAATTGCCTGTTTAGATAAAGTAATATTAAACCCCTAGGTCACTTGTACTGATGACTGTGATGGCCTTTTGAGTAGTTACGATTTGGAAAAAACGATTGGCATGCTGAGTATTCACTCGCTGTCTGATCAACCAAATAAATCAAGATAAACATTGGGAAAGAAGAGATGATTGTATTGACTGTGGAGCCAAATCAATTGCGTTACTTAACTACTATGTATTGCGTTGATTCTGAGGTTGTCACAGTTCCCCTGGACTAGACGAACTCTTTCGTGGAACCAACATGTACCAAGATAATATAATAGAACTATAAGTAGAATCAATGACGCAAATCAGTCTCCAACTGGCAGTTGAATCAGAGTAACGCGCCAGAAAGGCCAAGCAGACGAGCGGTGTGCAATGGGAGTCCACGAAAGATGGACTGTGAAGCGATTATGCAGCATGAACCTGAGACAAGCTGCAGAGTTCCAGTATCACTAATCCGATGTTTGCGACCTTAACCTGCGTGACTGGTATTCACTTCCCTTAGTTCACCACATGTCAATCTGCTTAGCTATTCCAGTGCGTGACTAAACTTAAGGACAATTTTTCCGTTGGTAACCATAGCGAACTACGAAAAACCGTCTGGATAAAACCTATGAACAATGTCACAAAAATAGCCCCCTCTGCCTAACATTTAGTGTTTAAAAATGCGCACATAGAGCTGATAACTAAGAATTCTGTCCTCATCAAAACTTACGCGAACGGTCCCTCTTCTCGCCAGATCTTGTACGCGCAATGAAGTGTATTCTTGTATTTGTGCGAATCCAAACCCTATGAAGATTAGACAGTAGATATATACACATTAGTTTCGTGTTCACTAAAGTCTGCATTCCTTCAAAATCTTGTGATCAGCTAAAACAGCTTTACTTGTCGAAAGTTTTCAGAACACAACAATTTGTTCAAACCTGCAATATCGCCACCCGTTAGAGCAAATTCCAGACAATCTCATGCTTTGTGAAACTTGTAGAACCTTTGTGAGTAACAATGAGAACGGCGATCTATGCGACTATGAGATGTGACGTCGTGTGTACGAAATCGGGCACAGTATCTCAAGAAGACACACCTCCACGATGCTACTTGAGAATAGCAGAAATTAGGAGCAACCAGAAAACACTTCGTTTTCTATAATATACATTTTTCAGCACGTCACCGAATTAGTTCCCTGAATCCAGTAGTATAAAATAAAAACTGATTAGACGCATCAGCGCGACAATTTATTGACCAGGACACAAACAATCAATGCGGATCGCCTGCTTCAAGGTTACTTGACAGGTCACTTGACCGCGTGCTTATCCTTGTCCACACCATCTATTAAGTCAAATTAAAGGCTGATTGCCAGGCGGTGTCGCTGAATCTGACATCAGGATTCCTGAGTACATCGACCACGTACTATGGTCGCTGGCTAGGAGCAAAGCTTCCCTTTTGGATGAATCAGTCACCCAAACAAGGTAGGAAGAAACACAAATCACACCACGTCTGGTTGTTTACCTTGGGGAACCTCAGAATTCGTTTGAAATATACAAGTCTTGCTCTAGTGAAGCCATTTTTGAGCAATACTTATTTGGCCCACTGGTGGAAAGTGCATTGTACAGCAACCCAATTATCTTGGAGGTTGATGAGATCGTCATTGATAGGTTTGTTGAGCTTCATTAGCTTTCTCAGATTAGTTGAAAACGCACTGGAACTATCACTGTATCGACTAACTGCCAATCATCCCTTAAGTGAACCCAATAGAAGCACCGTGAAACACCACCAAGGTGTGGATAATGAGTCGATTTTTTCCTATCTCTTAAACATTAAAACGACTAGGTTACAGAGGCGTGAAACCAATAACGATTTGTATCTTCTGAGGACCGGCTACCAAAAGTGTGATTCGATTACGTAACGCCAGCTGACACTTCTGAGCAAATATTCCCGCGATTAGTCGGCGGAGACGACTGAGGTGAAGAGGTATGTTGTCGATAACCCTGTTCGGATTGCGTTCCTCCAGCTACCAGTTACAAATGTCTATCCCTTGGTGGTGTGGTTTCGTTGTGTGGCATGCCTACTAAACTTTGTACGGGAGGCACCTATTAAGACCACAGGTTCTATCAAACAGTTGTGTGTGTTGCACCCCAACTTGGTAGTTTTTATATACTGAGAAGGACGAAGAAAAGCCCCGAAATTTTTGGGATTCACGAACTGCAAATGATCCACAACAAAGAAGAGACAGTTGTAACGCACCGAAGTGGAACCGAAAGTAAGCAGGCAGCACAAGGCTGTATAAGAAATACACCGGCTGGTCAGCACGGTTCCCCTACACAGATCACATGACAAGAACTAATGAAACACTCATATTAAATGTTTGATAAATTGTATGAGCTCACACTTATGTGAGGTTTGTATGTTTTCTAAATTTGAGGCACCATGTGAAATTGAAGTGCCGCGGTTAGCCTAATGATATGCCAGTGTGATAAAAAACGTTTGCTGCTTGACGAATTATTCATTTGACAATGTATCGACTGGCTAATTCATTAGTGACACCCACCTTTGGAAATGTCTTTTGTGTATACAAGGCGGGAAGTTCACTTGATATTTGATTACAAATGAGGTCCATGGCAATATGAGAAATTTCCGGGTGGAATCTGATATCTCTTGTCATGACAAGTGCAAACTGAACAGTAAACGAGGAGCTAGAAATTAGCTCTTAGCTGGGCTTTGCAAATTTCATTCAAGCAGAGCATAAGGTTGACGGAAGTTCGGGGAATGTGCTTACGTTATGTGCTCTAAGAAGGGCAGCCACCTTAAGAGTAGTGTATCAGTTTAACTTGTATGTTACAGAGAGAGTGGCTCTTACCTAAACAAAACATGTAGCAAGGAATAAATCAACTTAAGATGGACTTCAGGAGAAGAAACATCATTGTTGAAACTGATGCTTCACTTCCGTGAACAGGGACAAAAACAGTACAGTCGATAAAGTGAGACTAATCTTCGCAAGCCTCCAAAAACCTGCTAAGTTATCACTTCAAGTGGCAGTGAGGGAGCACGTGATTGAATGATGAAGGATGGACTTTGAGTGTTATTGGTTTGATAGTGTCCTGGGCGGACATTCACGTGTATCGATTCAAATAAAGTGGGTCACATCAAGTGTAAAGCTTGCACAAACTTGTTCAAACAAATAAGCAATGGCAAGTTAGCTTGATGTCAACGAGAGACTCAAGTGAATTCCAGTTGACGGTGATGCACGAAGCCCGTTTCTTGTTTCATCAAGACGGTGAAGGAGGGCTACGTCTTCTAACGTGAAAATTCTATATCCCCAGGGTCAAGAGAAAGGTGAATATACTTAATCAACATATGGAGCTGTGCTACACTAACACGGCATCAAATGGATAACTTTCGAACGTTCTTATGTACTTAGCCCAAATCATATCCCAGTTCAGATATGATCTGCATTTTTTAGCTTTGTAGTCTAGTCAGGAGGTGACCAGATGTCCGCTACTAAGCGGGTCCTGGGTAATGTCTGTAGACATGTGGGGAGGGAATCATGTAAAACTTGAAAAAGAAGGTGGAAAGACCCCACAAGACTACGCCTGAAAGACAATTTCAGTCAAGCGTCAGCTTAATTCCACCAGCGCTCACCCATGATCAAAGAGACCGAACGTCCGTGGCCGCCGGTGCAGCCTACAAGCGATGCTGATCTACAGTGTGTTTGCAGAAGTCGAACGCACTCTGCCGGATGAAATTAATAAATAATGCTACAGGTCTTGTGAGTGTACTTTAGTGAAGGGCATCGTACTTGACCGTGATCTTACACTTGGACGAAAACTGTCCACACTAATCATTCACACCCAATCAAACTCAAACCCTTGTGGATAACACTCTTGTGCTAAAGGCAGCCAGGATAAAGCGAAGTGTCCTTCAAGGCCTTGAGCTAAACTGAACACATCGTTCAAGCGGGCCTATGTTCCCCAATTTAGGCGTGATAATTCGAGTGCATACAGTGTGCGCCTGCGGAGAATCGACAACACATACCAGATGTCCGGAGTTCAAGTTCTTGCACAGTCAATGAAATGCACTGCTGGTGAACACTAACAAGAGCGAAACTAAAATCAAAGTGCTTATTCTGTTTAATGTGAATCAAACATAATTGTAGAACTCAGCGAAAATGAAGTTAAAACGAATCACATAACGCGCTCCCCATAACCAGGTGCAGCACAAAGGGCTTAATAAGAAGGGAGAGAAAACATTTCGATGAAACATTCTGACTCAACTGAATCCCCCGTTTATAAAACTCTTCAACTGAATGTGCTGTACAAAGGCCTTTTTGTGTTTCAGTTGGTATGATATTCCAGATATCGCAGTATAATTTCATAAAGGAAACTACTCACAAGACCGCTGAAAGCTCCTTGATAGTCCACGACCGGTTTCGCCCTTCTAAGGGCTCATCAAGTAGGCGCAGTCTCCTAGCTTCAATCAACCTATTGTTTTACTTGAACCCACGTTGAACTGGTTTCGATAAATACACTCATTTGAAAACAACTTTGTTTTTTTAAGCGAGACTCATCTGAATGTCTCGTTTAGGACGTTCCTCAATTGGGTTGTTCATCAGTAGATCTCTCGGTCAAAACGTGTTCGTTCGAAGTGGGTGTGAAACCCTCTAGTCAGACGGCTTGAACACTGCTTAATATGTCGATGTTTGTACTCACTGTTGATATAATCAGGCAATAAAAAATCGGTGAAACAATCACCTCGTCCGGCCTACCGGTAGGTCGGGTAGCGAGTGGGTACATGCAGACAGTCTTGAGCCAGTAGTAAACATGGTCGTCCGGTTCATCAAATTCAAGTGATGTGGAAAGCTTTTGGAAGTAAGAACTGCAGTCCAGACGGATATAAATGGTTTCAATAATGGAAGCCTCTTAGCAAGGACTACACCCACTATCTCATCGAAGTCTGTTCTTAAAATTGAAGTGATCACCTGATGACTTACTAAGGCTGATGAAGAAGGCGGAACTGTACAGATAAACGCCGTCCGCCTCGTAGGGGTTCAATTTTACTTCCCACCGCATGTACCACATCGCTGGTGCTGGCTTTCAAAACTTACGAAGTGTGCCACACAATTCCAGAAGCATACACGACAGTTTTAGCATTCCCCAGACTAGGCAGCTGTGCTTGTTCTCTTAGGGTTACCAGGTGACACCTGAAGGATGAAAACGTCGCTGGCAAAACGACCGCTCTCCAGCTGACCACCAGAACTTTTCATTGCAGGCAAACCTGAGCTCCATCTAGCTAATTAGTGCCTCTCATTTGTCTTCGTCAATGCTGGAGATTAAAACAGACAGACTTCAAAAGAGGACTGACCGGTTCCAGGTTCAATCAAACAGTGAAACAATCACAATCGAATGAGCTATGCGACGCTCGGCCACTGGTGCTGTTTTTAAGCCGATAAATACTCATGGTTTTGCACAGACGATACTCCTTTGCAGTGAATCCAAATATTCTGATCGACTTATGCGAGAAAAACATCTCTTGCCACGCGACGGTTTGTAAATTCTCTCATGCGAACAAACCCAGCAGTATTGTATCTTGTATGAATCTTGTATGCTGATATGAGAAGTAGATTTGAAGGCCCAAAACAACGGACGGTTTTGTCTTTCACTTTTTTACTGTGAAAGACGCCATTTATTCTCATGATCTTTTAAACGAAATCTCTTTGAAGATATTTGCGGCCAGTGTGTGCCGTAAAAGAAGTAAAATCGGTAATATCATTCAGCGGATAAGACTATGGTGTCCATGTTTTACTAAAACGGCCTGTGTCATTCGGTCAGTCATTGTGCACATTCATTTCCGTAAGTTGAAACCATTTTTATAAACACACTGTGATACACAGCTCATCCTAAATAGTCATGTGACACTCAAAAGGCAATGGTCAACTGGTAGTAGTCGGTCGTAAGCCAGACTATGCGTGGAATAGGATGTCCATCGCAACTACTGTGCACAGGAAAGCATGAGAATGAAAAACAGGATATAATCCATGGAATGCATTAAATAAGAGTCATTAGATGTTTAATACAAAGTCTTGAAAGGAATCTGTATTCATACCTGCATTCGGGTTTTGATCACATCCAATGGGGTATTGCCGTAGACTGAAGCCGCACCAGCCACGATACCGAACACCCCAGTGAGCAACTTGGGAACAGGAAGTCCACTAATTTGATCACCTCGATAGTGACGGTACTGGTCTTTGAGACTTTCCATAACAAAGAACCGTATGGCTTGATTGGTGCCCTGTTTCATGATGGTGGGGGTAACACCCTTGTACAGACCACCGATTCCTGTGACCGGCGAAGTGGGAGGGGACATAAATAAACTGTGGTTGGGAGTAACAACAATATAAGGAGATAAGTGGTGAAGTCAAAGGGAGTGCAATGGAACTTTGTAAGGATACTCCCAACAAATGTAATGGAATTTGACCCCCAGACATTCGACCTTATCATTTAGGGTTCCTACGTGAACAACAAGTGCTAGATGAATGAAAGATTAGAAGATGTGACAAGTGTAACTATTTGCTTTCGGCGCCATTCCATAGTGAAGATTTCACTTAGTCGAATCGGTAGATTTGACGCTTTTCTAAAGATAGCCAGAAGTCCTCACTGCCGAAGGGTAGATGAACGTACTTGGGTATACAAGTTCGGATGAATTGCTTTAGTCTAATGGTCCAACAACTTAGGTCATTTATGCGTAAATTGTTTTGGCTGCCGACGACGTAAATGATCGAAACATGCCATTCGGGTGTGGACGGTGAAGTGGGGTATTCCGTGGAGCGCTGCACAGGTCTGTCACGATTCGAGGAGACATCTTCATTGCAGTCAGCATAAATTGTTTGCCCAAAGTGGACATACAGGTGGTTTGTTCCTGCTGCACTAGCTTTATTATTGGTATTATTATTCGTATTCATTGTACACGGAGCAGCAACTCCTTTCATGTCCACATATTGCCTAAATCTAACGGTGCGCATGATACAAACGACTTTTATTTAGGAGCACTGACCGGTCCAACTAAACCCTCCGATTGTAAACATGAATAATTTCCAAATTCGTGAGTTTTACTAACAAAGTGTTCGAGGGACGTCGCTAATAGGTAACAAAGGTTATCCATATGGTAAAATATTCTCTTTAGTCATTTTACTAGGCGTGATTCTGGGTACACGGAATTCGAGTCGCCTGCTTATCGCTAAACACCCGCAATAAATTACAAAATGCTCGATTAGCAGTAACAGTTGAAGTACACCATAGTCTAGAGACAGTCTCAGGTAAATCGACTAATCGAATCAGCATCTTTTGGATTTCCCGAGGCGCAGGTAACCGACTAATATCATTAAAGCAATCGGGCATTATCAATTCGAGACATAACTCATCAGTGTAAAGGAAATGTCTGAGTGAATCCCGTGTTGAAATTATTTTATCAAGTTTCCGGTTTGCTCATTTTTGCCGGTAATGTATTAAGCCAATTCGAAGCATCGGACAGGTGATTATTAATGGGCGGATACAAGTTTTTGTTCCAAAAAATGTTAACGCACCCACAATGAACACAAAAAGACAAAAGGTTTCCTGTTCGTGGAAGTTTCAGGAATCGGCAGGTGTGCTCATCTTGGCGTGACATTTTGTGCTGCTATTCCCACTTAGTTGTTTACTTATTTATTTGTTTGTTTATTTATTTCATTGATATACTCGTCCACCCACTCGTTTATCGATTTATTCATCCGCCTATTTATCTCTATTTATTTATTTATTTATTGTTTACTGACCATCAGATGGTGGGGCGTAAACTGTTAACTATAGGGGGGCAAAATCGAACATAGTAGTAAAGCCCTAGGAGAATAACAACCGTCAATAATCCGCTTGAGTTTGAAGTTAAACTATGTAAAAGCAAGTGTACAATGTTTGCATTGTGGTGCCATTCATATATTGAAGTTTTGGCATGTTTCCGTGAGGATCATTTGTCGTAAATCATAATCTATTCTATAGGAAGAGATCAAGGTGCGCTGGTGTCCAAACTTTTCACATACTTTTCAAAATCGTGACTGAATCGTGAGAGAACAAATTTTCAAGCGATTAGTTCAAACTGGGGTACTAGTAACTCATCGTAAACAAATCACGTGGCTATCCCTGGCAGTGCGTACAGTACAATGCTACAAAGTTGGAACACTCAACTCGTGTCCTTCTTCCAATCAGCATCGATAAAGCTACGGCAACAAAAACATGCGCACAAAAACTGCTCTCTCACCTTCCGTCTATCTGTTATCCGATCTCTGTCACTGACGAAATGCGCCGTCTATGTTACTCTGGTATTCTTGCCGAATAGAGCAAGCAGATTCAGTGCTCCGAATTATCCTATGCTTAAACGCGCCATCGAACTGTTTATTCATTATCAGATCAACTCAGCTTACTTGCGCAGCTGTTCGCCGTGTTTGGAAGTCCTAATAGAACCCGATAACCTAAATCTGGAACTTGCGAGTGTGTGTATCGAAAATTTGTGGCTCAGGTATGGAACTACTCCCAACCACTTGACACAGTGAAATTGCATAAATAAGTTTGGCGTTAGCCATATTATTTTTTGTTACGTCGTTTTTCTCAAATTTATGGGGATAGGATGTCGGAGGTGCTTAACCCAGAAGGGTATCAGTTCGAAAATGAAGTTTTATCACATATTTCTGTTTGAGATGTGAATGAGTGAGTGTAGTCTTTACGGTTTTGACTTCAATACGGTGGCAAACCAGCAGAGGTGACCAAACCTGATTCCCTGTTTATCTATGCTATCATAATGCCCAATCCGAAGTCCGAGTAACCTGAATTCCTATGCAGACCTCGTGAACGATGGCTAAATAATCTGAATATGAAGGCATTGCTTAGATAGTTTAATCAAAGCCACAGAACGCTGACTGCTACTGTTTGACTGCTTCGACAAGACTAGTTGGAGCCCCACTGATGAGCATAATATTTTCAATACTACACGGTTCATGAAGTCAAAAGCACATTCAAGCACTGGCTACTGCTTGCTTCTGGATTCCCCAGATCATCGAATCCTTCTGGTCGGTGCAACTGATGTTAGACAACGCACGCTGTAGCTGATTGTCTCAAAACACAATTCAGCAATTAGCTGAAACTCTCCATTTACGGCCTCCCGAACTCCTCCACATTTGACACTGCCGTTCACCGTCAATGGCAACAACGTTGATTACAGCGGATAAGTTACGACGCTTAAGTGCTAGTATGGTACGAGTTGGTTACGGGAAAGAACGATGCAGACCCAAACAGCTGGTTTTTAGCTTAGGAACAGGTCGCTGAAACAGTGTACCTTGCGCGCACGCCATTTATACAGACACGCACTCTGTGTGGCATTTGCGGAAAGGGACCGGCCAATTTTAATAATTGAGGTAATTGAGGTATAATTATGGTATAATTGTATAACAATAACCGACTCAGTCTTCTTGGAATTACATTGAATTCCTTACCAATAAATGAAAAGGTTGTAGCTCGCATGTGTTATTTTGTTGCAGATCAGGTGGCCGTTGATCTCTTCGCCGAGCTTAACAACTTGCATACAGTGCGTTCATTGAATAGGCCCCCACGATTGTTGATGAGACGTCTGGAAGCGAATTTCCAAGTCCGGTCAACAGATCAACAGCGTATGAACTGCGTCCGAATTACAGATCAATAACCATTTCTAAACTTTCAAGATTAAGAGGGGAATTAAATTCTGGCCAGAAATTGTCATGCCTAGAAAACTACAAAGAGATTTGATTCGCCTAGATGATGCACACGCAGCACACATATATTAATGAAACGAAGTCGGTAATAAAAGCAACCAGAAACTACGCTATCGCTATGAAACTATAGATCAGTACACTGTATGCCAAATGAAACGCATCTTCCTGTTTGACTGAGTGGTTTCACACTGAATTGCCAGTCCCAAGACAATACGAATCCGATTTGGTATTTTGAGTGTTCAACTTGTGTTGTGGCACTCTTAGGTGGGTGGTTGTGCACCAGACAGTCACTACTGCTACTGATTGTCCAACATTGAAAGAAGAACTAATCGATCAAATAAAAAGCGGTCAAGGTTGTTCAACATAAAGTCACCACATTTCAACTAGACACAAGCAGAAAGTGTTACGCCAAATGTCTGGAAGTTTGGAAGCCGGATTCTAAGCTAAACGCACAAGAATATTAACTGGTTATCGAAAAAACCCGCATCCATTAGCTGTGCATTGGACGCACAATGCATTTTTCTGCAAAGCCCTTGTGAGTGAAATGAAAACTTTTACGTTACTTTTATTGAACTTGAAGTTTCGCTCACTTAAACAAATCACCAATGTAGATAATTTGGAATAATGCATGAACAGATACATTATACATAGACATTCTAAACTATGAAATGGCAAGCCTGAAAATACTGTACCTTTCTAGAAATCAATCCCGTTGTGCGAATACTGAGTGATCAAAAGCTACCGTGGAAAAAATCCTGCTCAACTCATGCCACACTGAGGTTATGGCCCACAAAACTACACTGTTTCTCCAGAGGCATTTGTCTCTGAAGCAGGCGAACTGATGTTTTCGAGAATCCGTGAAGGTACTGAAAAGTTGTCTGGAGTCACCTTACTGTTCACTATTTGTCAGATCTTTAGAGGTTCCCAAAGAATCCCATTTTAATTCATGCGCACAATCGACATCGAAGACCACTGGTTGTAGTTGTTATTGGAAATGTGAAATTTGAAACCAGATCATTTTACATCAACTGGAGGAGTTTCATCCAGTACAGAACGCTGTTCCAGGACAAATCACTTCTGCCTAATACAGTTTTCATAGCTTTTATATTCCCTCGAGCTCCTCCATATTCATCGTTCATTCATAATACTGATTAAGAAGTCACGCAGTCGTCATTGATCACACCATCGTCGTAAGAAGGCAACCTTCTCCATCTATGATATAGAAATCCTGACTCTTGATCTGGAACTATGCGGAGTAATTACCTGCGGCTGCTGTTTACTCACAACCGTTTGCGCGAGTGTGCAAGGTCATTATTCAACTGATCAATACCCCGTCTCATATCGACTAATTAGTAACACTCCATGTGGCTGCTTCGCTGACTGGCACTTCTTGCCTGGCGGTGCTTCAGTGATCCCTGAACAGCAAACGATTTGGTGCACCGGAAACAGCCTTGTGTTTGTTTTGGTTTAGTTCCCTCTGGAAGAGTTCCTTTTAACTTAAAGTTTACTAGGCACCATTTAACACATTCTGTTTATCTCCCTGAGTTCCTTTCATTTAAAATGTCTATCTTTCGTCGGTACTGTCTCTGCATTTTTCAAAGCGAAATTTCAACCGGTGGAGTGAGGTTTTGATCACGTATTAAGTGCAAGTAACTGAGTGCGCTTCACTACAAACGCTCACGCTCTGAGGCAAGAAATGTTATCCGTCTATCAGGTAGGCTTATGCAAACATAGTGTGTTTCTGCTTCTTGACGTGGGAATCACTGACATAGCTGAAACTCCCACTCGTTCCAGTTCACTGATCGATAAAGATCCGCGATTCCGATTCGCCTGTCCGTCTCTCCTGTTTTCATCTATCAAACACTACTGCTCATCGATTCGGTCCAAAGTTTGAGTGAGTGAGAAATGGCAGAAAAGTTTGGTGGGATAAAAATCTTAATCTTCTATATGATCAAGAACAGAACAACTCGACACAAAGGAAGCTCAGATTGATTTTTACCGTCAAAATGTTAAGTGTTATACCTCGATGAAAATCATGAACGCCAGATGTTTTAGAAAATACAAACCAGAAATGCTGACACATGAGGGCTGGTCAGTGTTCATTCTGCGGATAAGAGCGTCCAGTCTTTTCATCTGAATTAAAAGCCCAGTTCTTGGTACACTGACCAAATCCACATTTAATAAACTGTTATTTTTGGCTGTAGGCCAAACTTTGACGTGGTAACTAATCAAGCACTTCAAATTTTCCAAGTGCCAGCCAATCCATGCTTCAATATACGAAGAGCCTTGTTTCGAAACCATATGATTTACAAAAGTATACCTTCGTACACTACACTGTGCACAGATATTTAACACGTCATATACGTCCTTAGAGCACCAACTTTAAAAGTTCGTACATCTGTAGAAATGGCTGATTCCACGTTTGGAGTTCACATCCAACTACATCCCCGCGGAATGAATTCCATATTTGGTAGGCTTGTTCGGAAGAGACTCCTGTTGCGTTTGGTACTATTGAAATTCCCACGTTAACAGCAAAAATATGGTAGTGCATGATAACTTGTAAACGGTCGGAGAAAACTGCTTGTGATTTCCAGGATGCTGGAACAATACTTCGCTGGACTGACTTGGTGGCTAACAAATGATTGGATTTCGGTTGGTTAACAGCTTTTTCTGATAGTTTCATTAGCTTGGGCATCGGAATGGATATTTCATAGATATCACCTATCCTAACTGCCACTTTCGTGGATTCGCAGTGAACACCTGTTTTCACTGCGCGTGAATGCCGGCCAAAAAGAGTGTGTGTGTGTGCCACATACTGGTTCAGAAGTTTCCACAATATGCTCGTGGTCCACGAGGTACACGCAGCTAAAAGTCAACGGTAAGTTGCGATTGTGTGCAGTTAGCGTGTTCCGGAACATACCAAACATACCAATGAGTCTGCAAGAACTAAGAAGCCACCTATGAGTCGGAATAATTTCGCTTTTGTAAGGACTGTTTTATGAAAGGCCAGAGGGTCTCGATCGAGCTGTTCAACACTATGGTGACAAAGTGAGCAGTAAGGTGAATCATGCGGCCTGTGTTAGAGCTAAATCTAGAGAACGGTAACCTCCAGGTTGACCTGAATACTTGCGGCGTTGACCTGTCACATTTCAAGTCTGTACCAACTGATTTTGGAAAGTTTTCAGGACCAATTTATACCGCCATAGGCGTCTTTACAGCAGCAGGAGTGCGCGAAACTACTGATTAAGTCTATCTACGTACCCGAAAGCAATCCAGATAAAGCTTATTCCTAAGACGTATTTCGCCAGAACATCTTCCATTCAATTGTTGTCACACAATTTGCCCATTAAATAGAACACACTTTTCCGAGCCAAGGGAGCACCTGATATGTCAGCATCTTACAACTACGTATTCTGGCTGTTTCGATGAATTGTAATCAAACGACCCATTGTGACAGAATTAACAGCCGTTCAGAACGTTGGCATGTTTTGGATGCTAATAAGGTAACAGATATTCGACAGATTCCTTTGAGATGTTGAAATCTGGAGCTGAATGGTCAAGCCAACAACTGAGGAGCAGTGTTTTCGGTTGTCCCGCACCCTAGCATAACCGTCAACAAACCTTGTCCTCTTGACTTGGTAAAGTACTCTGCTTCGAACGCTACATCGTTCCGTTTGTCTCTGGTGGCACCGAGCTTTATTGATTGTCTGCGTTTCAAGCGCTCACTTGGTGACTAGTTGAAAACATATGAAAATCCTCTTAAATTCTAGCAAAATACTTTGGACTACATCCAACCGAGATTACTGAACACGATTTATGCTCACTGAGTTTTGTAGGAAACGTTTGTAGTCCCTATCGAACGACCCGTAAACATCCATATTCCTCACGTGGTTACTCTGGTTAGGCGCTAAACGTTGCTGCCGTCCGAGCTGACGGTAGTCAGCCGTATTAGGGTGGTTGGTTTTGTCAGCGTTTGGAGTGTACTCATCTGTTGTGTGACTGTGAAGTTCCTAGCCTAGACACAAACGAAAACGACCGCGTTTGGAGTTGCGCTGAACAGGTGCGGTAAGTCATATCAAACAAATCTCTAGGCCGATGTGGATGTAATTTTGTAACTAGAGGCTGGACATCGTGGGAAAATGCCATGGTCGAATAGGAAGGTAACTTGTTGTCTAGATGTAATACACTACTTATGCGTTTGCTGAAAACTCTTCAACAGCCAGCGACCGGTTTCATCTTTCTAGGGTCTCATCAGGTAGACGCAGTCCACGGGTTTTCATCAATCTTACTTCCTGCTTGATAGTGAGACGACATGTTTGTTTATGGAAATATTACCATCTATTTTTTTAGGTAGGACTGCCGCAGGACACTCGGTGTTAGGAAAAAACTGAAGATTTCGCCTCTGCTTGTTGATCAGCCGGTTGGCTGTCTGTTCGCCGAACTTAGCCAATAGCTTGCAAATGTTTGGTCTCTAAGCCAAGAGACATTATCAGAGAGTCGTCTGGAAGGCTGCAAGCCAAATACCAAGCTCGGCGAACAGTCAGCTGGTTACCAACCAGTTCACATCTTCGGGCTACAAGTATCTCGACACATCGTAAAGGTGAAATCGTAAAGTGTGAAATGAAAATGGGCCTGAAAGATGGCTGTTATTTAAGTAGGTCATCTATAACATCTGCGCATCCTGCCAAAATTCAAGCGATATTTGCTTCCTGTGGTTCACAAAAAACATAGTGGATGGCGACACTGGTCAACTAAAACTTTCAAAACAGTATCGCGCGACCTCTATGAGGCACTTGTCTATGTCCTTGTGGCGTCGTGTTTCGTTCGGGTACCTTGGTATCATTGTGCTGGAGGGTCACACCTGAAGAAATTGACTTCGTATGTGTGATCAAGTTAATCGTGACATTTGATAACGGGACGCATAGAGTCAATAAAACGGACAATTGAAAACTCATATTCATTTCAGACCTCACTCACCGAACTCTTTGGCAATGCAGCGCACGCCATGTCCGAAACCCCGATAATGTGGATTGGCTGATGTCTGATCGTTGATGAACTTGACCTTGATCGTTTCCATTGGAGTCACCACGAAAATCGCTTCACAAATCCCAGCACCTGAAAGGAAATTCAAGTCTTTGGAATGACCTGAGCGAAGCCCTATGTACATCTGTTCTCAGCCTCATTGCTGTTCTGCCAAGTTCTCCAAAAACCTACATGAATACGACAAATTTTTACATCTGTACAAGCAACTGTATGAGAGAGAACTTTTGCAACTCAAGTTGCTCAAGTGTCAGTACAGTCAGTGTTGTGTACCACACTGGCTGTTATCTGATAGTGAGCCACACAGCTAATGTGGGCTTGAGTTTATTTTTCAAGTTCAATTCCTCTGGCTGAGGACAGACTCAAAAAACACTTACCTATTATTAGGCGATCATTTTGTTCTGTTCACCCCCGCCCAGAAATTGGAGTGAAGTATTGATCTGAAAAACGGCTTGGTCAGATAGAACTGAAATTACGGGCCACTACAGGGACCAGACTGGTGCTCAGTATCAAAGAGTCGTCTGCATACTGCGACTATTAACCACAGTATTAATATCATTCCATTCGTTGGTGTATATTGAACGCAAACTAAATAGTTGCGTTTATGCAGCCTGAGAGAATACTATCATAAACACCAGAGAGAGGATAGCACTGCACATAAACTTTGAGGAATAACGGATAACCTTAGCGTCACAAAATACGAGGGACTTTGATTCATTACTAGTTCATTAAGATGCTAGTCCCCTGGGTCCAGCTGTGCCCCTTGATGAGCACAATCTTGGGAGCGAATCCTATATTGAGTCGCACCTTAAGAAATGAAGCAAAATTTCAGTGACCGAACTGCCTTTAAGCAAACAGTTCCTTTCATAACCCAGTAGGGTTACAGTAAAGAAAAATCTGTCGAATGCAGGAATAACTCCGCTTCGACCGATCCTTCCAGTTCAAAGCAATATCAATGAAACTTCACTTTGAATTCGTTTTTGTCTAAATGGCATCGATTATCTGTTTGATTTTCTGCCCCCCCCCCCCTGAACAGTGACGAGAACGAATGATTTTGTTGACAAATCAATGCAACTCGACTCCATCCTATGTTAGATTTGACTCAATTTCTTACTTTTCATCAACAACTAGATAACCACTTCCGGTCATTATCAACAAATGACCATGTGAGCAATCACATACACGCCCAACCACATGCGATTGGCAAACCAATTGCATGGATGGCTCTCACACTACCGCGACAGATGCGTTGCCCTCACAATAACGACTGCACTGTCAAGTCGACTGAAGCAAATAGGTTTCATCACACGCCTAAATCAAGTGTGGCTCAGCATTTTCCTTTCCACAAATTGATAAATACACCTTTCCCGAACATTTCACGTTTGGCTAAATGGTTACACAAGGAGTTCCAAAGGAGTTCCTCTCCACTGAAAAAAAAAACAATAGTCTATGTAAACGCGCGTAATCTCTCAGGACAGACGAGCGCAATCACACCTATGAATCCGGAAAGTCAGTAATGCTTGAAAACATGTGGGACCGGCAAATAAGCTCCATAAACAATCCTCTGTGTCATCTACACCACTTGTTCATTCCAGGAACCAAGATCCAAACGAATCCACATGGTTTAGGACCTTGTAGAATAACCAAACTTAACGACAGGCAGCTCCACAAAGATGTGCGCCGGATTCGTCCCAATGTAAGTTTACAAAGCACACTCGTTCATTCCAGTAAGTCATGAATTCGTATCACTTTTCTCGTAAAATATTGCCGCCGTATTAGATAAACACTAATGAATTCGCGTTCGCTAACTGAGCTCACTTAAGGGATCCAGGGGCATTGTGTTCAAAGAAGGGAACGCATCAACCATAACATTCGTCAGTTCAATCATTTTGATCCGTAATTTTATTCAAAACTTCACCGTTTCAAGAGCACGTACAACTTAAACCAAACAACCTTGATGGTAATAGCATCACAGCTCATCCTGAATCAAAAACTTTTTGCTCACGTGATGATAAAGTTGTGGTCCGCTGCATTTCCGAACCGCAACTGTATATCTTCACGGCACAACTGACCCCAGAATATTTCTGAACTGCTGTGATCAAACGGGACCTGAACTGCCGTGTGCATTGGCGTTGATGGGGATGAATTCATCGGCGAGCATTTGTTCCCGTAAACCTTACATTCAGATTTTCATTTAGGAATCTGGGTTTACCTTAAACCCAAGTATTCATGGATGCCCATTATGAATGCAAAGTCTGTGCATACATTTTCCGGGTGTCGTTCCAAAAGGAAAATACATAGCGAACTTATGTGTCCCCCGTGAAGCAACACTTTAATCCTAGATCAGATCGAAAGCTCAGTCAACTAGGCAGCAAGGTTACCGAATTTTTAGTCATTGCGAGGCAACAGAATCTTGGAGTTTATAGCCGGATTCTCAAGGACCATCAAAATCTTCAAAACTAACTTATAGTCGTACAATCTGACAGCCTGTGATACATGGGAGGTATTCTGCACAAGAGTAATTCCTTGTAAACAGAACGAAGGAATAAGCATCAGCCTGCATAATATGTTATGTTCTTTTGCCTCTTGGTTCAAAAAATGGCAGAGAGGATTTAAACAGGAACAGTAAAGTTAAATTGTCTACGGAAATGGCTAACTATCCCCCCACGGATTGGGGTGCGCTAGGACGAGGAGTAGGGGTAAATTTGAATAATATGAAGCGGACAGATAGCTGGTGACCGCAAGACCGAATCCAGATAGCTCAATAGCCAAGACATAGCTTACTAACTCACATATTCGTCTTTCAAGACTACCATTGGGTATTTCGTGACTCCTGTCAAGTTTTGAACAGCCTAGCAGTCCCCGAGCTCAAGCACTGCATCTACGCCACAGCTGAACAAACAGATTTTATTTCGACAGCAACAAACATCAGCGACCGATTCATCCATATTTAGAGATTTAAATCAAGTTTCATTTTTGGTCTAAACAGCTGCTGATGCACTCACACAAGCTGACTGGTTGCGAACAGTTAGATGTTTCGGGCGAAATGCACTCATTTGGATACCAACCTGGTTCCTACTGAGGGCCCAGCTGAATCTCGCGATCATGATGTTCTTCTTCAACTGAATGTGCTGCACCATGCTGCTTCGGGTTTCACTTGGTACCAGTAGCACCATATATTGTGCGGAAATAGTACACTAATCATAAGGTTGCTGAAATCTCTTCACCATTTCTACTGAATTAAACCAATTAGCGCATCCGTGTCAATCACTTGCGGTCTTAAAAGTCAGAATACCCGTGATTTATTCATGGTGAGAAGGCAAGCCTATACGTTTGACATGAGTAAGTTCCGGATAATATTGTCACTAGGAATGAAATATACCGAACATTTTGTTTGGCGTTCCCAAATTCGCAGAATTGACGCCTTGAGTTGAACATAAAAAATTCGATGAATATCTCACCTATTTAGAGCAGAAATACCTAATACCAGATTGAGTCCGAATTTTCTACTCAGCTACTCCTTTCACGGAGACAACATTCTAGGCCCTTGTAGGCCACTTGTAGGCTGCATTCGTGCTAAACCTGTTGGCGTGAGACAATAATACAGCGTTCATTTCTATTTTTCATATTGGTGAAGGTAGTCAAACAGAATGAAAGGATTCTCAGGCCAAACAGTATCGTCCTACAATTGGTAGCAAAGTGGTGATGATGATGTTAATCTATACAGCTTCTGGGGGGAATCGTCAGGAAATACGGGTAAGTAGTTTCTGTCGTAGATGGACACCGTTAAACAAGGGGTGGATACCTTCAATGGAGATTTCGTCCTACAAGTGAAGCCAAACCATGCTGAAAAGTAATGGGGCGGAACTGTATGACTGCTTGATGTTTACTGGTAACTAGCAGCAGTGCGCACCTCACCGAACCCAAGGAAATCAAAACCCACGGTCTCCCGTTGAAGACTCTTCGGACACGAGTGACTGTTTAGTGGCTTGCGTTTAGGCAAGACACAACCTCTCGCAGTCACTTACAACAGACTGCAAGGAGCTCAAAGAAGGATTAATTCACGAGTGCGAAGTCGCCCCTTGAGGAGCTAGCCAACACGTGACCACGTGATGCCGACTGAGGGATGCGTGGGGCTATATTGTCTACATGCGAATATACCCCACCGTTGCTAAGCCGGTCTTGGTCAAACGGTTGTGTTCAGGCTACTAGCCAGGAGATGATGAGTTCGAAACTCCCTTGAGTTTCGTGAGAAACGCATTGCTGGTGCTGCTCAATGAGGGTGAACAGCTGTGGAGTGGTGCTTCTCTGCTTTTCAGCATAGATTGATTCCACTGGCAATAGAGAGGGAGAAACTATGAATGTATTTGATGACAGAACGCCTCAAATAAGCGAATGATTCTGTCTGGTTGAGGAGTTTGCTCTTGAAAACGGTCATGGCAAATAACTTAATCAGTAGTCAATAAACGAGGGAGTGTAGGTATTAAGTGGTTGTTGGTGCGAAACATAAAAATAACCCTAATCACTTTGTTTCACTATGCTCAGCGTGGCTCTCGAAACATCCAGAACAAACAGGAGGCTCCGAAATTGAGGATGGATGAACAGCGACAGGTTGCGTGCGGCAGGTAAAGTACCCGCCTCCCTACTAAGTCTTAAGAACTTTGGAAGCTCCGCCAGTCTATGAAAAGAAGAAAGACACCAACAGAATTTAAAGAACAGTGGTCGTCTTTGTGGTGTCGTCACGTATGTTGATGGCGCTTTGCATTTTTCATGCTGAAGAGCACCAGAGGGATGAGCTGATATCTTGAATTAGCACTAATCAGGCTGTGATCGGACATACCGTGGAGCTCTTATGATGTCAAATTACTTGGGGTTAACAACAGTTGAATTAGCCTCTCCCAGGTGCCTGTGTGAACGCTAGATAGCTTGACCGGTGGTGGACTGCGTACTTGGCCCGGAAGTGTGCACGTACCTGTGTGTGCGTGCTTGAGTGTGCTTTCGGTCGGCGTGCCAACTGGCTTACGCACCCTGTTCGATGATCACCGTGACATAGTGGTTGGATGACCTTGCTATTTGTCCACATTGTTTACCACATTGATTCTTGCCTTTTCAGGTTTTCTTCAAGGCTGAATTCATCAAGTATGCGGGCACTTGTGTGGGATATTTCCTTTGGGACAATCAGAGAGGCGGTAAACTAACAATTATAAGTGGCGTTCGGAAGTCGCCAAACAAACAAATTTAGAATGCAACAGTTGTAGGAACAGATGACTGGGAATAACCAATAAGGCGAGGCTGCTAACCGGACGGTCTATGGTTCAAAACAGCTGGATTTCCGATTAATCCTGACAAGACATAGACAAGCTGGTAATGTCAGCCTTGTGTTTGCTTTGAGTTGCTGAAACTGAAAGATTATTATTATACTGGAAACAACCCATAGGGCACTCTTGTTGTACTGAACAATTCCTGGATAGCTTGAAGAGCCACGACAAGCAACCAGATTCCCAACCAGTTTGCCTTCTCTGATCACAGAAACACGTTGGAACAGGATTGGAACGAAAGGCGATATCGGCAAACATTCACCAAAAGTCTAACCGTGTGGTGTTTACCCACGACTGACGATCAATCCGAGTACTTATTTGAGGATGCATCACCGTGTGGTGAGAAGAAACATGGTACAAATCCAGTTGTCCGCCTCTTTACTCAAGGTACAATGAAAGGTACCCTGAGGTCTTCAACATCCTGTTTTTTAACCAGTTGGTCCCGTCAGACAACCAGCACACACCTTCATTTAGTTAAGGGGGGTTTGGTTTCGTGTAAGTGACTGTTTCATTCTTTGCGGGATCAAATTGCCACACTATTGGTTTCATGTGTTTTGAGGACTCTCAGACAGCTCAGTTGGTCAGTGAATTCAACTGGTAACTCTTTGGTAAAGTTGTTACTCCTTAGTAAAGATCATAGACAATCCATTTTCTTGCTGTCTGTGATTTGTTGGTGGTAAGTTAGTGTGAAATACAAGTCTTCTAAATGTGCGTTTTAGATTTGGTTAATTGATATTCCATCAAAGCGTGTCATTTCAAGGACGTTCAGTAAACCAGACAGCCAAAGATGTATCAGGTGCCCAAACACAGGCGTTGGCGGTGATTTTTTTTAAATTTTACTGCACAGAGTGTCCTACGAGTTACGCAAGTTTACTGACAGATGCAATAAATAGTTTGTCCTGGCACACCTTAAACATACGGAGGCGGATTTATCAAGCCATATTGAGATGCGTCCATTATTCACGTACCAAGATGCCTGTTCGTACCTGAATACGTGACTCAGCAGACAGTATCATATTGTGAAACCGGAACGCAGTTCAATATACTTTGTTCTCCTGCAACTAAGACAACATACTTACCGGATGATAATGACCCCATACTCACTCATAAGCCGTAAGATTTCACTGAGCAACGTTTGAGGTGGCATGACGAACCCACAGACGGCCGCCTCTAAAAAGCCGAATTTTTTCATGCTCTGATCAATCGGACATATTAATATGTAACACCTGATAGATCATCCCATTTGCTATGAATTTGAATTTTGTGTATTATGCTCCTGTAAATGCATTGACCGTTGGAAGAATTATCAAAAACGTTCGTTCGTCAACGCGCCTTCCAGGAATGTATGGACAATCCCATGTTTGCTCGCAGATCACGTTTTGTTGTCATTTTCTTCGCTCCTAAGTTGTTTCGCATCTTAGACTTGTATCTGTCATTTATTGCTCTCCACTGGATCTGATTTTCAACTGTTTTCTAATCTAATGTTAATCGTTGTCAAATGGTACACTGCCAACGCCCACATTCAAATCGTCTTGTGCGACGGAGACAATCTACAACCTTACGGCACATCAAGGTCAGACAAACAACACCATTGTTTCCAGCCATCAAACATTCTTGAAGCTCAAGAGACAAGGCGGTGTTTATGAGTCACTCTAGCGCATCATTACTCACCATAGAACGGTTTGCAATGAGTGCACTCACTGTCGACCATTCACAACACGGGAACACAAGTATGGTGACACTTACAGGTCCTAATCGGTTTTTGCTCTTCGTATTGTGTATATTGGTTCCCTCCCACAAGGTAAACTGGGAGGGTGGTAAAGTTGCATTTCTCTGAAATACGGCCAGCTCGTCAACGGGTTATAGATGCGGAAAACACATTATTTAACACAGAAGTGATCACTTTTATGCCGGCATTGTACCGAACATGGAGACAGGCTGAGTCGTATGTCTTTACAAAAACTGAGGTTGTAACCGTCGACCCCGGTAGTTCTGAATTCTGTGCAGCCAAATAAAAACGGTTGGTCTAAAGAGTACTGTATCGCAAACAGTATGTAAGTAAGTATTTCGCACAAGCGGTTATGATCAATAACTTCACCGATGCTCATTTTCTTATTCATCAGCGAACGGACATTTTGACTCTTCAGTATTTTAAATTCGTCTAGGAATCCCCAGCATCATACCACAAAATTTGTGTTCATTAACAGAAAGATGTCATTTTGGAGGTTGGGTTGGGCTCAGTTGCGGGCACAAAACATACTGCCGGATAGAGTGCAAAGGGGCGAGATGGTTCAAGTGGTTAAAGCGCGAATTTACTGACCGGAAGGTCCATGGTTCGAATCCGACCTCCGCCACTCGCCTTCCCCCGTCTAGGCTTGGGCAACCTGGCAGTATCCCAGCCCTCGTGCTTCCTTCGGGTAGCATGGCAGCTAGGCACAGGAAGGGTGCTACAGCTGAACGCTTTTTTTATAGAGTGCGAAATCTTGAAGCGAGGAGAGTCAAGACTGTCCGGAAATGTCATAGGTACGGCGATTTCTGAGCATTTCTCGCCAGGCGCATAGTTCAATATTTAGCCCTTCACTTCGCAGAATACCAGGAAATTTCACACAGATCGGAATCTTTGAATCGTACACCAGACACGTCAAACTCCAGAGTCTACAGTCACGCAGACACTAATCGCATACAAAATAACTTTTGAAGCAATGCAGTGGAAAAATAAATTTACTGACTCACTAACCCAAGCCACAGAGGAATTTTCGTCCACCACTCAGACTGCCATCAGGTGACAAGCTGTGACGTTTGAATTCTTCAAAGGCACCAAACCTAGTGTTTTAGGGTGGTGGGCCGGAAATAAATGGTGAAAATTGTGATGAGGGCGATGATAAAAGCCAATGATAGCGTGCGCACTACTCATTCAACTATATGTCTCGAAATCACGCAAAATCAGGAAATGATCGCTTTTCCACGTTAAGCATGCCGTATGAGCAGAACGGCTAACTCGTTTCGGCTTTCAAAAAGCTTATGAGAAGGAAACACATAGACCGTTTCTAAAAAAACACGAAGGGTGAGTGAAATGCTAGCGGAATTATTTAAGCTTGCACAATTTCGGATCATATTATTATAACTTTCAACGCAACAAATGTGATTCGGCATTCTTACAGAGATGAGAGCACGTGAGAATAGACAAATGGAGTACAACTGATATGGGGAATTCGAAAATAGAGGTTACAAAGCGTAAGGTTGAATCAAGTCAGCAAACAAGAAGGTACTTTGGGTTATTTCTAGAGTTCCACGTTGAAAAAAATGAACAGGTGGGTGGACAAGGTAATTCGCACGGGGGGGGGGTCTAAGCAAAGGCATCCAGGTTCTGTCCCAGTGTTTTTGCCACGGTAAGGCTAATGTTAAAACCATTTCGTTCTGAACAACCAGGTCCCGTTTCTGCTGCCTGGTTTCCACAGTCTTTGCATACAGTTTTTCCTTTTAAGGACTGAGGTGACTTGCATCTTCGACTTTTGAACATCCAGTAAAATTATGAAGCAACCCCTGTTCATGAGCCTTACAAAATCCCTTCGCACAAATACACTCATTTACAAATCAATTTGGTTTTCACGGGAGACTCAAGTAAATCTCTAGTTTATAGTGTTCTTTAACCGAATGTGCTGCACATAGGCCGTCTTATGTTTCAGTTGGTGCGATATTCAAGATATTTCAGTATATTTTCATGAAGGGAACTACTCATGAGGTTGCTGAAAACTCCTCGACAGCAAACTTGTGGGAAGTTTCTTTGATGAAAGAGAATTTTTTGACTCATTTCTTCTTCAGGGCTGCAGGCTTTCAAATAGAGCCTGCTTAGTTCCATCTCAAATTGCATGCAACCAGATTTTTAAAGTGTTGAAGGTACTTCTTGGTCTTTCCGAATGAAAAGTCGTCAGGTTGTTTTATACAAATCCATATATTTTTTATAAAGACCTCGTCCAACCTAAACTCTCCAGATCGGGTGGCAATATCCCACCTAGCTGTCTATTTGAAACCGGCCGAGTCAGAGAGTGTTAATGAGTTCGAATTTAAGATTGCGGCCAATATTTCTGAAATTTTCATGGCCTTCAAAGTCTGGTACACCATTGAAAAACCACAAAAGTGGTTTAAGGATTAATAAGCGCGCATGCCTAATAACTCAGCAAAGGTTTGAATTGAGCGTCACACAGTTGTTGAATAGAACCACTTACCTTACGGCTGACTTTGGTATGGATCCATATAGCAACACAGACAAGCCGCGATAAAGGCCTCGCACGCCATGTGACCGAACAGTCTGGCGAACACAATCAATAGGGCCAGAATAGCGTTTGGCAGCTCCCATACGTTCATCAAGTTGCAGCTGAGTTTTTACATACTCCGTAGGAAACGTTATACAAATCTCGATGGCCCCTGTAAGACCACCTGAAAAAAGAGAAGGGTGACGAACTCAATCGATCCATTTGTACGAACCCACAAGTCCTCCACGTACGGTCTGTTGTAAGAGAGAGTTCGGCTCTGGCATGATGCGGCTTACGGCTGAAACAGGAATTATTTGCTTTATGGTAGAATACGGTTACGATAGTCCTGTTGATGAAAAAGAGAAGAACTAAATAATTCGAACCAAAAAACAATGGCAAACTGTGCAGCGGTAAAGGGTTTTCTCATATTTGGCTGAAAGAAGAATACCTCAGTGACAGCATCACTCTAATAATCAAGGACACGCTTTTGCAAAAATGAGGGTCAAAACTTCTGACTACCAGAGGCGACAGTGATACTTTAGCAACGCGGCTAGAGCCAAGTGTTACAGTACTGATGTCTTTCTGACTGATTCTGAGTCTATTTTGGTGGTCTAAAACGGCACACAAATTCCCATCCGTCAAGGAAAGGACAAAATCTAGGGCTAAATGCTTCTACATGAAGCTGGAGTGTTTTTCGTTCCTTCACTGAAGAGTGGCAAGTACAAGCAAGATGAAATTTATGAAAGCCTTTTGTATGGACAGCGCTCTAATCTTCCCGTCAACTGAATGAAATTGGTCACAGCGCTTCTGCTGTTTGGAGTCGTATCATTTACTTAGTAATAGAGTCTGAGGAGGATGATTACGTCTGAATTTTACCACACTAATTAGAGTCTATCCACTCTCGTATTGATCAGTGGACTTTATAGATTCGTTCAATTCGAAATCGGGTTCATTTCCAGTTTCAATCACCGAAAAAAGCTGCTTGCACTGCAGTTCTAAAGTCAGCTCTACTGTTTCTGGCACGATCGAACGTTTGGAAGGCTCGATTTCATCAACATAAACCAATACTTTTGTTTACTGATAAGCACTTTTAGGTGAAGGCGCTTCATGGCATTAGGAGCAACAATTTTGATGGAAGACCTCGGCGTTATACATATTTAAATGGGCTAGAAAGCTGCTGAACTTTGATACAGAAACTATTGATATCTGATGGATACACGACACAAGTTATGTGTGTAAAGCTTTACATCTGGTGGGTTTGGTCATCATTTTGTCTCATAAGCGATGGAATTCATTTTGGGTTACTGCTGGCTGGGCTGTGGTAGAGGGCTGTCAATTCTAGGAGACAGCGGTGTATAGGTCAGTACATCTGATGATCAGTCATGCTGACAAAGCGCTTTTGGATTATCTATTGAGTCTGGTTGTCTTAAGGGGCATCCGAAATTATGAAGTTAAACACCATTCTAAAAGTATTCACCTAAGTTTCTAGCACATCAAAGATGCCCGAGGATAAAAGGGCATCAGTGACGGCTAGTTCATACATCTTACTTATTTGAATTCGAGGGACGGCCAGCAAGATAAGGAATACCTTAACCACATCAGAATCGAGTACTGACTGATGCGATACTGGCCAGTTGATAAGCTGTTTTAAGTGCGCCCAGTACGTTTCCTGTTGCCCCAGAAACTGGTTCAAATAGATAAAGTGGATTTGGAACAACTGTACCACTAAGAGTCAAAAGGTGATGGGTCAAAATTCAGCGTCAACGTCATCATCATCATTGACAGCATGACACCAGTGTTCAACACCGATACATCGCTGCCGTAAAATCACAATTTATTTGAAAGCCTTACGGTAAAGAAAAGAGAAAAGGGGGAGGGGGAA